TTCCTACTTGATTGGAATAGTTTCAGAAGGGAATGGTTCCAGCTTCTCCTTTGTAACTCTGGTAGATCAGCTGTGAATCGCCCGTCTGGTCCTGGACCTTTTTTGGTGTCTAGGCTAAAATTTATTGCCTGCAATTTCTAGCCTGCTCTTTGTCTATTCAGGGTTCAGCTTCCTTCCTGGTTTACGTCATTGGGAAGTCGTGCTTGTGTCAGGAAATATCCTTGTTCTTCCCTAGAATTTGATTTTCTAGTTTATTTGCATAGAGGTGTTTATAGTATTCTCTGATGGTAGTTTGTATTTCTGTGGGGTCGGTGGTGATATCCCCTTTATCATTTCAGCTCACATGGGTCATCTGTTACACTCATTTTTATCTCAGATAATACCTTTTGCTCATGGTGGGCAGGACGAAATCTCAGATACAAAGAGATGACATAGAGTTCAGGGACCAATGTTCGACAAAAAATTTTTGAATTGCCTCTGGAGACCTACTCAACATCATTTTCATACTTCTCAACCAAAATTCCTGATCTTCTCCCAGCAAATACAGCATTGCTCAAAACACAGAAAGTCATTATTGGACTCTAAAGCCTTCATTCTCAAAGGTATTTAGGCTTTTTAGTTTTTGTTGAAGCCTCCCACAGAATAAATCTACTCGGTGATAATATTGTCCTTGGTGCCCAAGTCCCTCAAAGCTGTGTCCCCTGTGGCGCTGTCCGTGGTGCTGAACATTGGTGCATTAGGCCCTATATTTGCAAGTGAGGGGCCAATATGACAGAGTAAGAGAGGAATTTAGTTTGGTTTTCTTTTGTATTTGATAAACAATAGACAAAATCGCCATGATGAATAAGGCATAAATTAAACTAGGATTTTCTTTTTCTTTTTTCTTTTCTTTTTTCTTTTTTTTTGAGACGGAGTCTCGCTCTGTTGCCCAGGCTGGAGTGCAGTGGCCAGATCTCAGCTCACTGCAAGCTCTGCCTCCCGGGTTTATGCCATTCTCCTGTCTCAGCCTCCTGAGTAGCTGGGACTACAGGCGCCCACGACCTCGCCCAGCTAGTTTTTTGTATTTTTTAGTAGAGACGGGGTTTCACTGTGTTAGCCAGGATGGTCTCGATCTCCTGACCTCGTGATCCACCCGTCTCGGCCTCTCAAAGTGCTGGGATTACAGGCTTGAGCCACTGCGCCCGACCAAATTAGGATTTTCAAACCACAATTTCTTCAGTGCCCTCTCTCCTCACTTCTGTTTAACATAATATTGGAAGGCCTGACCAGAGCAATCACGCAAGAGAGAGGAAGAAAGGGTGTCTAAATACAAAGAAAGGTCAAACCATCCTTGTTTGTGGATGTCATGATTGTATATCTAGAAAACGCCATAGTCTTTACCCAAAAGATCCTTAAGCTGATAAATAACTTTAGCAAAGTTTCAGGATACAAAATCAATATGCAAAAATCACTAGAACTCCTATATGCTAACAACAGTTACAGGTAGGGACAAATCAGGAATGCAATTCCATTCAAATTTGCCTTAAAAAAATACCTAAAAATACAGCTAATCAGGGAGGTAAAAGATCGTTTACAATGAGAATTACAAAACACTGCTCAAGGAAACCAGAGATGACACAAAGATAGAAAAACATTCCATGTTTATGGATAAGAAAAATCAATATCATTAAAACAGCCATAGTGCCCAAAGAAATATACAGATGCAACGCTATTTGTATCAAACTATGAATGACATTCTTCACAGAATTAGAGGAAATACCATTTTAAAATTCACACGGAATCAAAAAAAAAAAAAAAGCCAAATAACCGAGGCAATTCTAAGCAAAAAGAACAAAACTGGAGGCATCAAATTACCCAACTTCAAAATGTATTACAAGGCTACAGTAACCAAAACAGCATGGTATTGGTATGAAAACAGACACACAGACCAATGGAACAGATTGGAGAGCCCAAAATAAGGCTACACACTTACAACCATCTGATCTTTGACAAAGCTGACCAAACACGCAATGGAAAAAGAACTCCCTATCCAAGAAATGGTGCTGGGAGAACTGGCTAGCCATATACAGAAGACTGAAACTGGACCACTTCTTTACACCATATACAAAAGATGGATTAAAGACTTAAATGTAAAACCCAAAACTATAAAGATCCTGGAAGACAACCTAGACAATACCATGCAGGACATAGGCATGAGCAAAGATTTCATGATGAAGATGTCAAAGGCAGTTAGGAGAAAAGCAAAAATCAACAAACTGAATCTAATTAAACTAAAGAGCTTCACACAGTGAAGGAAACTATCAAGAGAGTAAACAGACAGCCTAAAGAATGGGAGAAAATATTTTCGAACTATGTATCTGAAGAAGGTCTAATATCTGAGCATCTATAAGAAATGTCAACAACTTTACAAGAAAGAAACAAACAAACCCATAAAAAAGTGGGTAATGAGCTCAACACAGTGGCTCATGCCTGTAATCCCAGAACTTCAGGCAACCAAGGCTGGTGGATCACTTGAGTCCAGGAATTTGAGAACAGGCTGGGTAACATGGCAAAAACCTATCTCTACCAAAAATAGAAAAAAATTAGCCTAGCATGGTGACACACACCTGTAGTCCCAGCTACTCAGGAGACTGAGCTGAGAAAAATCACCTGAGCCTAGGAGCCAGACGTTACAGTGAGCCAAGATGGTGCCACATCACTCCAACCTGAGCATCAGAGTGAGACCTGTTTTAAAACAAAAAAGGTGAGCAAAGGACAAGAGACACTTTTTTTTTTTTTAATTTATTTATTATTATTATACTTTAAGTTGTAGGGTACATGTGCATAACGTGCAGGTTTGTTACATATGTATACTTGTGCCATGTTGCTGTGCTGCACCCATCAACTCGTCATTTACATCAGGTACAACTCCCAATGCAGTCCCTCCCCCCTCCCCCCTCCCCATGATAGGCCCCGGTGTGTGATGTTCCCCTTCCTGAGTCCAAGTGATCTCATTGTTCAGTTCCCACCTATGAGTGAGAACATGCGGTGTTTGGTTTTCTGTTCTTGTGATAGTTTGCTAAGAATGATGGTTTCCAGCTGCATCCATGTCCCTACAAAGGACACAAACTCATCCTTTTTTATGGCTGCATAGTATTCCATGGTGTATATGTGCCACATTTTCTTAATCCAATCTGTCACTGATGGACATTTGGGTTGATTCCAAGTCTTTGCTATTGTGAATAGTGCTGCAATAAACATACGTGTGCATGTGTCTTCAAAAGTAAACATACAGGTGGCCAACAAGCATATAAAAAAGGTCAATATCACTGAACATTAGAGAAATGCAAATCAAAACCACAATGAGATACCATCTCACACCAGTCAGAATGACTGTTATTAAAAAGTCAAAAAAGAACAGATGCTGGCAAGGTTGTGGAGAAAAGGGAGAACTCAAACATTGTTGGTGGCAGTGTAAATTAGTTAACCCATTGTGGAAAGCAGTGTGGTGATTCCTCAAAGAGCTAACAACAGAACTACCATTCAACCCAGCAATCCCATCACTGAGTATATACCCAGAAGAATAGAAATCATTCTGCCATAAAGACATAGGCACATGAATGTTCATTGCAACACTATGAACAAGAGCAAAGACACGGAATGAACACAAATGCCAATCAACAACAGATTGGATACAGAAAATGTGGTACATGTACACAATGGAATACTGTGTGGTCCTAAAAAAAGAATGATATTATGTCTTTTGCAGAAACATGGATGGAGCTGGAGGCCATTATTGTTAGCAAACTAATGCAGGAACAGGAAACCAAATGCTGCATGTTCTCACTTATCAGTGTGAACTAAATGATGAGACTCATGGACACCAAGAGGGAAATAACACATACTGGGGCCTACTTGAGAGTGGAGGGTGAAAGGTGGGAGAGGGACAAAAAAAATAACTCTTGAGTACTACACTTAGTACCCAGGTGAAGAAATCATATGTACCACAAACCCCATAACACGAGTATACCTGCATATGTACCCCTGAACCTAAAATAAAAGGAAAGAAAAATCAAACAAAAGCCACAATCTCACCTTCCTCCCACAATCTGCAGGAGAAACAGTGTCTCTGAAACTTTTATTTACATGAACACCAAGAGAAAGGGAAGGTATAGCTAGAGTCCAGGTGTGTGACAGTCAGGTAAGAGTGGCCCTCACCTGGCAGAGCCAAGCAGCCTAGTGTGGAATAGGTTCATGCAAGAAATTTATCTACTTCTCTCCACAGAGTCACTGCTCTACCAGAACATTTAAAAGCAGACAGAATCATTATCTTCTAGAGCAAATGTATTTCCCCAAAATCTCCAACTTTTTTTTTAGCCATTGTACAAATTGGGAAAATGTACACCTTCTGGGTATATTCTGCATAGGTGAGAAAAGACTTGAGAGGCATAAAGGCTGGGCTTTACAACCACTACCCATCACTCCATCATCCTTATCTATGCATTTCCCTCGTAACCCAACCCACAGCCTGGTACCTCCCCCACTGTCATTTCCGCTGCATTACAGATACAGACCTGCAAATAGCTATGGTTGTGACTGAGTTTCTTCTTGACATCTAAGCCTTTCTCAAGTTGCAAGGAAAGCTTGCTGGGAGGAGCTTGGAATCTGGAATGAAGCCAGAGGGCAAGGCTGAAGTGAGTCATTTAAATGCTGCAACTCAGAGATTCACTCAGAAGACTGGACTCAATTCTGAAGGTCGCCCAGAAGGAGAGAACAATGTCCTCTTTACCTGTGAGTTGAAAAGGCACAACCTTCAAAAATTTCGTGTCACAGAAACCAAGAAGGAAGTGGGAGATTTTCTGAGAAGAAAATATGAGCATTTCTACTGTGAATGCTTTACTCAGAGTTAATGATGTGTGGAATAGAAACCCTGAGGCTATGCTATCTGAGATGCTTGTGGGGCTTCGCGTGTGGACCCTGGACCAGTGTGACCCTCTATGAGCGTGAGGTGATGTCTGATGAGAGTAAACTCTGCTGAGATGATGTGACTTTAAGTGGGAGGTGGATGACCCCCCAGGATGAGCACGTGTGTGAATGGAGAGTAAGGGAGTGAGTGGGCTTTGTTTCCTGTCTATGATGTGGATATGTGTGTGAGCACAGCCAGACCAGTGCATAAGCATCGTTATGTGCACGTGAGCAGGTGTGTGTGACTCAGTGAGTGGCATGGCTCTGTGTGACTCTGTGTGTGTGTGTGTGTGTGTGTGTGTGTGTGTGTGTGTGCTGGGATGTAACTGTGTGTTGAAGTAGGATCATGCATGTGGCTTTCTGCACACGTGAATGTTTCTCCCCACACAGCAGCACCTCTGATGTGAATCCCAGGTGGCTTAACTGGTGGGGATCTTGGGGATTATGAGTTACCAAGGACTTGTTTCAGATCACTTATGACAGCGGAAGGTATGGTCAGTAGATGTCTCTTCCCAATAAGAGTGGGGAAGAGGAATGCAGACTATGAGGGCGATGGTTTCTCAGGTGGGGTCTGCACAGAGTGACCACTGTTCTTGTCTTCCAGGCTCAGCTTACCTGTCCCCAGCCCATCCAGTTCTTCCCATTGTGGGACAGCAGGGTGTGCAGATACTGGTTTGCTAGGAAAGGACATTAGAGGCCATGGTTTCAGAGACTGAATCATGTAAAGTATCCACTGTAAGCTCTATCTGAACTGAGACTAAACTTGTTCTCCACCCGTGAAAGAACAAGTTAAGTCTCAGTTCAGAAGGAGCTTATGGTGGATATTAATCAACCAAGCAGCTGGGTTCACTGACTCATGGCTATAATCCCACCAATTTTGGAGGCAAAGATGAGAGGATAACTTGAGGCCCGAAGTTTGAGACTTGTTTGGGCATCATAGTGAGACCCTTTCTTTAAAAAACTTTAAATATTCGACTGGCAGAGTGGCAGGCACCTTTCTCCCCAGCTATTCAAGAGGGGGCAGATGTGTGAGGGTCACTGCAGCCCAGGAGTTTGAGGTTTCAGTGAACCATGATTGCACCCCTGCATGTCAGCTTGGGCGACAGAGCAAGAACCTATCTCAAAAGTACAGAAAAATCATCTCAACCACTTGTAGTCGTCATAGAAATCAATCATTCCCTCCAGTTACATCCCTGACCCACAGGCTTCATTTGTGCAAGTACTGGGGCCGTGCTATCAGCAATGTGTGCCCCTTCTGGGAAGGACATCCATTTCCCTTGATGACTGCAATGCATTTGCCTCCCACACCCAAGGGTTTCCTGTTCTTTCATCATTTCTCTCTCTTTCAACAAGTGTTGTTTCCCACTGGAGTGAATGTTTACATTCTTACATTTACAAGTCCTATTTTAATTTTCAGAGTTGAGAATGAAGGCAGGTCAGTGTTTCAGGAGGACTCCCCTGTTCTGTTAGGTCACCCCTAAGAGGCCCTACACATGACAAGGATTAGGGTAACACTTTTACATGTATTAACTCTCTATTACAGAAAACATCCTACAAAGTAGAAATTCCTGATCATTCTCCTTGTCCTAGGGAAAATGGGGATGGAAGAGTTCAAGTAACAAATCTAAGATTGCACTGCTAGTAAAAGGCAGAATGACGACCGGAATCCAGGCATCCTGGCTCCTGAATGCTTATTCTTACCTATGGGTCCACCATATCTTCAGGAATATGGGGCCCTGACTGTGGTAGGCTGAAAGGGGAGAGTCCACAGAGCCTCCCTTTCATCTCTAACCTCCTTCACCATGGGAATATGTTACAGGAGGGGAGGCTGCACCTCACCCTGCACCTCTCACTTACTCTCCATACTCTGGCAGGTGCCATACAAACTGCCTGTGTCTTTGTCTGTTGGTTCCTGCGTGATAATCAAAGGGACACCGATCGACTTTTTTATGTGAGTACTCCATGGACTAATGGAGGGGTTGGAGAAGAAGGGAGAATATTTGCTGAGGGCTTGACTTTATGTGTGGGTGATGTGAAAATGTCTAGCTGGCAGGATGGAAGCCCCATGCAGGTGCCGGTCCTTGGAGTCCCTCCAGCACCAGGCATGAGACCTGCAGCAACTGCATGTGGGCCAGCCACAGGGCCTAGGGAAGGAGGACACTCAGTGGGTTGGGGCTGTGGCTCTTTATCAAGGGGCATCGAATTTTCAGGGAATAAATAAGTCATAGGCCAAGGTCAGTGGCTGTGACTCAGTTTTCATCGGGGGATGAGGAGCACAGAATCTCCCTGCTGGGGGCACGAGGAGCTGAAGCATCCCCAAGGGACCTGGCCATCAGTATTATCAGGGAGACATTTTCCCCAGGTAAATGGGGGAAGGGATTTGTGTGTATGTCTAGTGTATGTCTGCACAAGGGAGGGACCTGCCCAACATTCTGCATGCTTTGCCCTCAGCAATGACCCACAGCTGCAGGTGGATTTCTACACTGACATGGATGAGGACTCAGATATTGCCTTCCGTTTCCGAGTGCACTTTGGCAATCACGTGGTCATGAACAGGCGTGAGTTTGGGATATGGATGTTGGAGGAGACAACAGATTATGTGCCCTTTGAGGATGGCAAACAGTTTGAGCTGTGCATCTATGTGCATTACAATGAGTATGAGGTGAGCATCCCAGGAGCTCCCAGCACCCAGACTTTGTGGGTTCCCAAAACAGGAGGCAGCTCTCATTGACAAGGCCTCAGCAGTCCCTCGGCGTCCATCTCCCATAACTACTCCTGCCCCTGGTTTTCATCACAGAACACCCCATGCTTGCAGTGCCATCCTCAGCTCTATCCCAAATCTGACCAATGTCAAGGTCAGCTCACCTGACATTTCCCCCAAAGTTGAGAATCTTCTCTGTCTTTTCACATAGTGCTCATTTCTACTGATGCCATTATTTAAATTTTCATTTAGTTGAGTGAATACAATATACTTCAGAAAAAAAAAAAAGATTTAAAAAAAAGTTGTTTAAATCAGTCAAAAATTAAGTCTTTGTCTCATTTTGGGGCCCGAATTCTACTCATAGGAAAAACAGTATCAGAGCTCTGCTTTCGTTCAAAGCTCTGCTTTCTTTGTCTCATTTTGGGGCCCGAATTCTACTCATAGGAAAAACAGTATCAGAGCTCTGCTTTCGTTCAAAGAGGGTTTTTTTTGTTTGTTTATTTGTTTGTTTGTTTTCTTGAGACAGAGTCTCATTTTGTCGTCCAGGTTGGAGTGCAGTGGCATGATCTCAGCTCACTGCAACCTCCACCTCCAGGATCCAAACAATAATCTTGCCTCAGCCTCCCTAGTAGCTGGGACTACAGGTGCGTGCCAGCACACCTGGCTAATTTTTGTATTTTTAGGGGAGACGGGGGTTTACCACTTTGGCCAGGCTGGTCTTGAACTCCCAACCTCAAGTTATCCGCCCAACTCGGTCTCTCAATATACTGGGATTACAGGCTTAAGCCACTGTGCCTAGCCCTTCAGAGGAAATTTTTTGCTTACGGAAGCATATAGATATGTCTATGATTTCATTTGTTTTTAAGCAAATCCTGGTATAAGTTGCTCTACACATTACGCTTCAGGAACTAAGTTGATTTGTTGTCAAAGAATATATCTCGAAGACATTGTCAATCTATGATGCTGCTTCAGATTTTAAAGACTGCATAATATTGCATTAAAAAGTTTACCCAAAATTGTTGAACCTGGCCCTTTTGGGGGCATTAAATTTCTTTCCAGTATTTTGCTCTCACAAATGACGCTGTATTAAGTTTTCTAATCAATCCTTTTGTCATTACCAACATCCCAATACTTTTACTAGAAGATAATTACAAAAAAATGAAAATACTGGCTTTAAAAATGTGTGCATTTCAAATTTGAAAAATTAATACTAATAAGGTGACTTTCTCCATAGCCTCAATATAAAGAATATATCCATACTTTCTGGCTTTCTCTAACGAGTAGACCAAAACATTCACATCTTATTCAGATTCAAGCGAGGGATCTTTTCCTATGCTTAGAAGTTGTTGAAGGTAATATCCTGTTTTACAAGATCTGTTCTCCTTTCATTCTATAAGAACACTGGGTTTACTTCTTTGCCACTAACACTTCGGATGTAGGTTACTCCAAAGAGAAACTGTGCCATCAGTAGTGAAAAGCAATCACAGTTCATGGAACTGAAAAGTATGCATTCAATGAACATGGCCTAGCACTAACCCTGTGGCAGGTGCTGTGTGAGATGCAGGGTCTCAAGTACCTGAGACACAGTCCCTGGCAATGGGTAACTTCCAGGTTAGAAGGGAGGCTGAGTAAGCAGAGACTTTGTGACACAGAGTTTAGAACTTCACTAGAGGAATGAGTGGAAACATTAGAAATAAAATCAGCTACTGTCTCAAATAGGCACAAAATGTCATCTGTAAACAGAAGTGTATCTAATACGTTAACTTGTATAACTAGCGGTTTTCTTGGGGAATGTTATTGGTACTAGGGCAGAGTGGAGAGGAGGCTGAAAACTTGTTTGGTGGCATATTGTCTTTCTGATGCATTTTTCCTCTTGTAGATAAAGGTCAATGGCATACGCATTTATGGCTTTGTCCATCGAATCCCGCCATCATTTGTGAAGATGATGCAAGTGTCCAGAGATGTCTCCCTGACCTCAGTGTGTGTCTGCAATTGAGGGAGATGATCACACTCCCTCATGTGAAGAATCCCTCTTGTTGAAGGAGGATTCTTCAACAAGAATCCTTCAACAACAATCCCTCTTGTTGAAGAATCCCTCTTTCTACCTGACCATGGGATTTCCAGAGCCTGCTAACAAAATAATTTCTCGTCACAATTTCCCCTCCACTTGGTCATTAAAACAGCACGAAAACTCACATGATTTGGTTCTTGCTTTAAGAGGGGGAAAGAGGAAGTGGTCATCCCCAAGGGGGACCAGGGTATTCTATGGAAGGCATCAGGAAATCAAAGGGGATAAACCTTCCTGTGACAAAGGGAGTGAGTGACAAGGTCCCTGGAATGTCTGAGAAGACATTAGAAACAGCATCCTTCTATAGCACGTAGTTGACGTCAGACAGTCTGAACTAAAACACTTACCCAATCTCAAATGACTCATGGCACTTACATGTTAGGTAGCTGTTTACAGCCACACAGGTGTACGTGGTGGCTTTGGGGAAAATCTGTAACTTGAGGAAAATTATGTAAAATTTCTTAATCTTTTCCATTGTTCTCAGGATGCTTACTGTGTATGAACACTGTGCCTGGCTTTGTGTGGGCTGCTACGAAGGAACTGGAAAAAAAATGATGACAAGTTTTGCATGTGAAGTTTTCAACCCAAGTAATAGTTTAGAGAATCACTGGAGTCCAGTGATTTCCCTTAAAGAATCCCAATTATTCTTATTTTCAAATATTTGAAGATGGTTTCACTTTATGTGTAGAGAATCCAGGGGTTTCTCTTTGGAAATAAATGGTCATGATTTGAGATCAGAGAACATATAGATTATTATTGGAATAGACACAAGTCATGTACATTGACACAGTGAGCAGACCCTTATTTGCTGCTTTTCCAGTGATGAATTGCAGCACAGCAAACCTCACAACACATATTGGCTAAAAGCAATCATTTATTTTTATTTCTCCCAGCTTGACAGGTTTACTGAACTTAAGTGAGTGGTAGATCATGTGACGGGAGTCACGTTTTCCGAGAGATCTTTGAGGCTGGGATTTCAGAGGATGCTTCACTCATGTCCAACTCAACACCAGGACTGGGTGAACACCTAGAAGCTGGTCAGCTATCTCCTTCACTACCTCACCTTCCCATTCATGACACTGATTTCCTTAAATCATGAGAGTCTCATGGTTCTGGGACTTAATAAATGGTGACTGGCTTTCACCAAAGAAAGTCTTCCAAAAGGCTCATGGAGATGGTGTATGGCATCATAGGACCTACCTTTGAATGGCAGACAGTGTCACTTCTATGGCTTTACATTGATCAATATGAGTCAAACAGACAGCCCTAATCAGAAGGAGAGGACTCCACAAGCTGTGGTTATTGTGACTGTAGTCATAAGGAGCCATCCTTGGCAACTAGTTCCACTCACAACTACTTCCTGCACACCAAAAACACTAACCCTGTAAGAAATCTCTGAAGGCATTACAATTATAAAAACAGGCTCAGAGTAAAGTGCAATATCTTATCTGATCAGGATGTGGTGTCTATGATGTGACTACAAATTATCACTTGCAATCTCCCACAACATGTGCACCAAAGGGACACAAAATCTGCTTTATACAAATCAAAGAAGACTGAAAGAGACAGGAAAAATGCAATGAACACATATATTTTAGAGGGGCAAAATAAAATAGACAGCAATCCATATTTTTACTGAAACCAACCAGACACCTATTTTCATTTTCTCTGGGAATGTTTCTCTGTAGCACTTGTCCTCACCCTCCATTCTCAGCTTCTGGAGTTCCTACCAAGATGGTAGAATGACAGCCCTTTTCCCACCACAAGAGCTGTGATTATCTACTTCATAGCATGTATGAAAAACCACTTACAAGAAGAGAAACAATATATCACCTAAAAATCAATGAAACCAGAATGAAGAGAGTCCCACCAAATAGCCTCTTTGTTTGCAAGAACCATCTCAGGTGTCATTTTCTCTCCCCATGTTCATTGCAACAGTTTCTGCAACTCCAACCTCTCTCATGGGTATGCCTCTCTCCTCACCCCTCATTTAACCTAACATCCAGACACTCTGAGGTGCCAACGCACAGTGAATGACACTCTTCATGCCTCTCTTCCTTGTTTCATTCCAGGATGGAATAAAATTCCCTGCCCTCTCACTGGAAACTCTTGTGTTCTGATGAGGTACACTCTCCTCATTACACCTTCCCTGTCACAGTCTTGATCACTTCTCTTTTTGATAATGGATCATAGACCCTATCACCAGCATGGAATTCATTTCTTGTGGAATTATACAGTTTGTGCTCTGAGAGGATGAAACCTATCCTGGAACCCCTGGCTTCCTGAGCAGAAAATGACTTGGAGTTTATATCTACTTGCTGCTTGCCTGGCATCCGTTTTATTTGAATAACCAACAGAGACCTAAATTCCAGCCCTGTTAGGTAAACACACAGTGACTGCCCTTTCTTGAATGATATTCACCAGCTCAGTGCGCTTCCTATGGGCCATTCATTACATTCATTTTTATTCAGCTACTACTCTGTGCTCATGGTAGCCAGGAATGATATCTCAGATACAAAGAGATGACATAGAGTCCAGGGCCAACGTTCAAACTAACAATTTTTGAATTGCCTCTGGAAACCTATTCAACATCTTTCTTCATCCTGCTCAATCCAAATTCATGATCTTCTCCCAGCAAATAGGGCATTGCTCAAGAAGGAGAAAGCCATTTCTGAACTCTAAAGCTTCCTCATCTCAGAGATCTTTTGGTCTTCCCAGTTACTGCTAAAGCTCCCAAAGAATAAATATACTCTGTGATAATATTGCCCTTGATGTCCAATTCCCACAGCATTGCTATTCCTCTGGGATGCCATCTGTGATGCTACTAAACATTGGTGTATGTGGGCCTCTATTTGCAAGTGAGGGGCCAAGAACGTGGAATAAAAGAGAAATTTAAAAATTTTTCCTCAATTTATTTTTACTATTTTTATTTTAAGTTCAAGTGTACATGTGCAGGTTTGTTACATAGGTAAATCCCTTGTCATGGGTGTTAGTTGCACAGATTATTTCATCACCCAGGTACTAAACAAAGTACCCAATAGTTATTTTTTCTGCTCTTCTCTCTTTTCCCACCCTCTACTCTCAAGTAGACCCCTGTTTGTGTTGTTCCCTTCTTTGTGTTTATGAGTTCTCATCATTTAGCTCCCACTTATAAGTGAGAACATACAGTATTTTTTTTCTGGCCCTGCATTAGTTTGCTAAGGATAATGGCCTCTAGCTCCACCTATGTTCCCGCAAAAGACATGACCTTGTTCTTTTTATGGTTGCATGGTATTCCATGGTGTATATGTACCACATTTTCTGTATTCAGTCAGTCATTAATGAGCATTTAGGTTGATTCCATATCTTTGCTATTGTGAACAGTGCTGCAGTGAACACTCGTGTGCATGTGTCTTTATGGTAGAATAATTTGTATTCTAATATTTATATGTATTTTTGTCTCAATAATTTGTGGAATCCAGGTGGTTTTTGATTACCTGGTTACATTCTTTAGTGGTGATTTTTGAGACTTTGCTGCACCCATCACCTAAGCAGTGTACACCGTACCCAATATGTAACATTTTATCTGTCACCCCTCCCACCCTTCCTTCGAGTCTCCAAAGTTCATTATATCATTTTAATGCCTTTGCATCCTCATGGTTTAGCTCCCACTTATGAATGAGAACATACAGCATCTGAGTTTTTATTCCTGAGTTGCTTTACTTAGAATAATGACCTCCAGTTGTATCCAACTTGCTGCAATGGCCATTATTTCATTCTGCTTTACAGTTGAGTAGTGTTCCATGGTGCATATTTACCACATGTTCTTTCTCCACTTATTGATCCATGGGTGTATATACATATACACATACACACATATATATACACACACACACATATATGTATATATGTGTGTATATATACACATATATACATAATATACACATATATACATATATGTATGTGTATATATATGTATATACACATACGTATATATACACATACGTATATATACACATATAAATCCTATATATAGATAGATAGATATCTCACAGTTTCTTTATCCACTCATTGATTGATGGGCATTTGTATTGGTTCCATGATTTTGCTACTATAAATTGTGCCACAATAAACATGCGTGTGCAAGGATCCCATTTGAATATTGACTTCTTTTCCTCTGGGTAGATACCCAGTAGTGGGATTGCTGGATCAAATTGTAGTTCTACTTTTAGTTCTTTAAAGAATCTCCACACCGTTTTCCATAGCAACTATACTTATTTACATTCCCACCATCAGTATAGAAGTGTTCCCTCATCACTGCATCCATGCCAACATCTACTGTTTTTTGTTTGTTTGGTTGGTTGGTTGGTTGGTGGGTGGGTGGGTTGATTGGTTGGTTGTTTATTATGACCATTCTTGCAGGAGTGAGGTGATATCGCATTGTGGTTTTGATTTGCATTTCCATAATGATTAGCGATGCTGAGCATTTTTTCATGTGTTGTTTGGCCATTTGTATATCTTCTCTTGAGAATTCTCTATTCATGTCTTTAGCCCATTTGTCAATGGGATTGTTTGGTTTTTTTTCCTGCTGATTTGTTTAAGTTCTTTGTATATTCTGGATATTAGTCTTTTGTCGATGCATAGTTTGTAAGTTTTTTTTTCCCACTCTGTGAGTGGTCTGTTTATTCTGCTGATCATTTCTTTTACTGTACAGAAGATTTTTAGTTTAGTTAGGTCTCATTTATTTATTTTTGTTGCATTTGCTTTTGGGTTCTTAGTCATGAATTTTTTGCCTAAGCCAATGTCTAGAAGAGTTTTTCAAACGTTATCTTCTTGAATTCGAATGGCTCCATGTCTTAGATTTAAGTCTTTGATCCACCTTGAGTTGATTTTTTAATATGATGAGATGAGAATCCAGTTTCATTCTTCTACATGTGGCTTGTCAGTGTTCCCAGCACCATTCACCATGGTGTTCTTCCCCCACTGATATGGTTTGGATCTGTGTCCCCTCCCAAATCTCACATCAAATTGCAATCCCCAGTGTTGGAGGAGGGACAGTGAAGTCCAGGCTGAGGAAGTCTCAGGTGGAGATAAAGAACTTATTGGAAGTTGGAATAAGGGTCACTCTTACCATGCTTTAGCAAAGAGACTGGTAGCATTTTGCCCCTGCTCTATAGATCTGTGGAACTTCAAACTTGAGAGAGGTGATTAAGGGTATCTGACAGAAGACATTTCTAAGCAGCAAAGCATTCAAAAGTAGCTTGGCAGCTTCTAACATTTTATGGTCATACGCATGAGGAAGGAGATGATCTGAAACCGGAACTTACATTTAAAAGGGGAGCAAAGCATAAAAGTTTGGAAAATTTGTAGCAAGATCACATGGTAGAAAAGAAAAACTCATTTTCTGGGGAGGAATTTTCAAGTTTGCTGTAAACATTTGCATAAATAAAGAAGAACCAAAATAACGAAAGCCTTGAAGGCATTTGTTGATCTTCACAGAAGCCCCTCCCATCACAGACCCAGAGGCCTAGGAGGAAAGAATGGTTCTGTGGGCTGGACCCAGGGCCCTGCTGCCCTGCACAATCTTGGGACACTGCTCCCCGAGTGGCAACTGCTCCAGCTTCAGCCACGGCTAAAAGGGTGCCAAATATGTTTCAGGCTGCTACTTCAGAGGGTGCAGGCCAAAAGCCTTGAAAACTTCCATGAGTTTTTAAGCTTGTGGTGCACTGAAAGCAAGATCTGAGGCTTGGGAGTCTCTGCCTAAATTTCAGAGGATGTATGGAAATGCCTGGATGTCGAGGCACAAATCCACTGCAGCGGCAGAGACCTCATAAAGAACCTGTACTAGGGAAGTGCATAGGAGAAATATAGGGTTGAGCCCCCACACAAGACCACACTGGGGCACTGCCTAGTAGAGCTGTGAAAAGAGGACTACCATCCTCCAGACCCCAGAATGGTAGATCCACTGACAGCTCACACTATGTGCTGGGAAAAGCTGCAGGCACTCAATGCTAGCCTGTGAAAGCACCCATGAGAGCTCTACCCGGCAAAGTCACATAGGCAGAGCTGTCCAAGGCCTTGGGAGACCACCCTTGGCATAAGTGTTGCCTGGATGTGAGATATGGACTCAAAAAAGATTATTTTTGAGCTCTAAGATTTAATGACTGCCCTGCTGGGTTTCAGACATGCAGGGGCTTGGAACCCCTTTGTTTTGGCAGATGTTTCCCTTTTGGAAAGAGAGTATTTACCCATTGCTTACACCTCCATTGTATCTTGGAAGTAATTACCTTGTTTTTTATTTTACAGGCTCATAGGTTGAAGGGATTTGCATTGTCTCCGATGAGACTTTGGGCTTTTGAATTAATGCTGAAATGATTCAAGATGTTGGGAGACGGGGGGGGGGTTCTAAGATGGCTGAATAGGAACAGCTCCAGGCTACAGCTCCCAGCATGAGCAACACAGAAGACAGGTGATTTCTGCATTTCCAACTGAGGTACCGGGTTCATCTCACTGGGATGTGTCAGACAGTGGGTGCAGGACAGTGGGTTGCAGCCCACCAAGTGACAGCCAAAGCAGGGTGAGGCATCACTTCACCTGGGAAGCACAAGGGGTAACGGAATTCCCTTTCCTAGCCAAGGGAAACTGTGACACACAGCACCTAGAATATCAGGTCACTCCCACCCTAATACTGCGCTTTTCCAAGGGTCTTAACAAATGGCACACCAGGAGATTATATCCCATGCCTGGCTCAGAGGGTCCCACGCCCACGGGGCCTACCTCATTGCTAGCACAGCAGTCTGAGATCTAACTGCAAGGCGGCAGCAAGGCTGGGGGAGGGGCGTCCACCATCGCTGAGGCTTAAGTAGGTAAACAAAGCTGCCAGGAAGCTCGAACTGGGTGGAGCCTACCACAGCTCAAGGAGGCCTGCCTGCCTCTGTAGACTCTACCTCTGGGGACAGGGCATAGCCAAACAAAAGGCAGCAAAAACCTCTGCAGATTTAAATGTCCCAGTCTGACAGCTTTGAAGAGAGTAGTTGTTCTCCTAGCACAGAGTTTGAGATCAGAGAATGGACAGACTGCCTCCTCAAGTGGGTCCCTGACCCCTGAGTAGCCTAACCAGGAGGCACCACCCAGCAGGGGCAGACTGACACCTCACACGGTTGGGTACCCCTCTGAGATGAAGCGTCCAGAAGAACGATCAGGCAGCAACATTTGCTGTTCAGCAACATTCACTCTTTTGCAGCCTCCACTGCTGATACCCAGGCAAACAGGGTCTGGAGTGGACCTCAAGCAAACTCCAACAGACCTGCAGCTGAGGGTCATGACTGTTGGAGGAAAACTAACAAACAGAAATGACATCCACACTAAAACCCCATCTGTACGTCACCATCATCAAAGACCAAAGGTAGATAAAGCCACAAAGATAGGGAAAAAACAGAGCAGAAAAGCTGAAAATTCTAAAAATCAAAGCACCTCTCCCCCTCCAAAGGAACGCAACTCCTCGCCAGCATCAGAACAAAGCTGAATGGGGAATGACTTTGATGAGCTGACAGAAGAAGGCTTCAGATGATCAAACTTCTCTGAGCCAAAGGAGGAAGTTCAAACCCAACACAAAGTAGCTAAGAACCTTGAAAAAAGATTAGATGAATGGCTAACTAGAATGACCAATGTAGAGAAGTCCTTAAATGACCTGATAGAGCTGAAAACCATGGCAGAAGAACTACATGACAAATGCACAAGCTTCAGTAACCGATTCAATCAACTGGAAGAAAGGGTATCAGTGATTAAAGATCAAATGAATGAAATGAAGTGAGAAGAGAAGTTTGGACAAAAAAGAGAAAAAAGAAATGAATAAAGCCTCCAAGAAATATGGGACTATGTGAAAAGACTAAATCTGCGTCTGACTGGTGTACATGAAAGTGATGGGGAGAATGGAACCAAGTTGGAAAATTCTCTTCAGGGTATTA